CTTCACAGTGCATTAAACACTCGGCATCACCCAAATATGTAAATTATTTATCCAGCCACTCCTCGTCCTAAAGACATGCATTTTAGCTGTAATTTTACTCAAAATTTTAGACCATTATTTGTGTTAGTGGTTTTATGGCAAGAGCACTCATCTCGCAATCAAAACTCCTATGGAGATTATGGCCTAAGAATGTGGCTCTAGATTTCTAGGGGAGGTGAGTGCTACCACATTGCGTGTTTGGGCAGGGGGCCACTCTTAACTCTCATTTTGATTGGCTCTGTAACTATGATGCCTACTGCAATACATTTGGCAGCAGTGGCTAATACAGGCAGTCCTCGACCTACGAATGCCCGACTTACGAACACCCGTACTTACGAACCAGCTTCCATTAAATATAAAAAATAACATTGACTTAAAACTCGAACTCGCACTTGTAAACTGAACCGCGGAACTATTTTGTTCAGAGGAGTGATCCTCCGCAAGATGTAATGAGTCGGCCTAGCACTGGGAGTGAGTGTTCATATATGCGCAGACATTGTGTGTGTGATGGGGAGCAGTGGTGTAGTGGTTAGCGTGCTGCACTACGAAAGCGCCAACCCGAGTTTGAGTCTTGCTCACAGCCAACAACAATGACGATTATCTGAACCGGTCCTAAGCCTACCTAAGTTGACTCAGCCTCAAAAGAGTACTTGTGGCAGTGTGTAAACATCGCCACTGGGGAGACAAAGGCGGCCGGGCGTGGCCCTGGCCACTCACCCCATCGTGTGCCGTGCCGGCCTTCATAGATGCTCGCTAACAGCACTTGCCCCTACAGTCTGTTAAGGCTATACGGGGGATCTTTATCTTTGTCTGTGTGTGCTCCCGTGCTTCCGAGTGTGTCTGTGTGTGCGTGCGCTCGCGTGTCCCCAGTGTGTGTACAATTGTGGTCATCATCAGGACTCAAGTGAAAATAAAAGTTTCTCTATTTGTGTTACTTAATTTTTAGTTTCATTTACTATAGTCTTTTTCTTTACAGCGTTACATGCAATTTAATATTATGAGTTTAACAATGCTTCCCTTTTTGTTGAGCCGTAAAACGTTTCATAACACTGAACGTATGGGCATTTAAATACAGTACATTGTTGTGTTCTGACTTACAAACCATGCGACTTAACAATGGGGGTTCAGGAACTGAATCCATTCGTAAATGGAGGACTGCCAGTACACCTTTTGGGAACGAATTAGGTTAGTAAGCCAAGAACTGCCCGTAATGTAAAGTGGCACCGCCCTCGTATATTTTCTGCTGCGTAAAAAAATAGTTCAGCTGGTTTTTGGCGAGGTTAGAGCATTGATAATATATAGCTATTATATAACTTACATCCTTTTCATGCTGTCAGTCAGGCAGCACAGATGATATCAGGAAAATGCCCTGGAAATGAACACGATGGAGATACTATGATGCCAAAGTTGCTTTACATCATATTGTGGGTGCTATTAGTCTTCTAGAGCCCCCACTGCCTTTGATACATGCACATATACGCCCCTTTAGTAACTCCACTGCTGGATGAGGGCTTCCCTGTACCCGACTGGTCATGAGGATTATTTAAACATAATTCATCATGCTGGTCAGTGCCAGTTGGTGAAAGTGAGAAGCATCAGTGTGGGAGCATAGAACCACAGTATAATAAAGGATTATGCTGCACTGGCATCTGCTACTCACTTTGTAGCACAGCCATGCAGCCACCTCTAACGAACTGGCGTATTACAGTAGTCACCCAGCCAAGCACTAGCCAGGCTGAAATCTGCTTAGCTCTCTGTGATCTAACGAGATGGGCATATTTTGGAATATTTATCAATGCACAACGATTATCTTGGATTCCACTACCGTTAGCTACTGGAGCCTTTGGTAGTTGATTTATACTTAGGTTCCTGCGACCCTAGACCAGGGCCCATTTAGCCACCACTTTCATACGAATCTTCCTTCTCAACATTGTCTTTCTCAGGGGGAAATGGGCAGTGTATGCGAAATTGGCCTTAACTTCTTTAAATATGAATGCCTCCGTTATTTAAAATGATATCGTGTCCGTGCTTAACGTAGCCTCTCCACGCAATGCTTCATGTATGCTCTCTTGATTAGATTAAATATCACGGAATACATCTCTTAATCGGCAATCCTATATACAAATGTCTATGGTCCTTCTGATGCAGCCAACTGGAATGATTTTAATGCAATTGAATTATTACAATTACATCATGGTAATTACACTTAAAGTGGCTATTTTCTTCTTCTATATATTCATGATGTATCGTGCTTCTTTATTTCTGAATTTCTTATAATGCACTTTTCACAAAATTTACAATTTTAAAGCAACTTCAAAAAACTCTTTGGTCTTTGAATGCATGTGCTTGTGGAGGATGCTAGAAATCGAATGGCAGAATAGAGTAACCGACTTAAAAGTTTGGAATAAAACATGGCATTAAAGCACTGTGGATGTAATCAGCACATGTGCAGGATGGAGGAGAGCAGGTTGTCAAGACAGCCACCAGCAGTGTCACGCCTGGCCTATCGGGAGGCCTCTCGTAAAACATGCTCATGGAGACAGCCTGACTCCCAAGAACAATGGGAGGGAGAGGAGCGACACTCACAACAAGGACTAGAGCATTGGGTACTTTAAAGCAGGGCGAGTTGGCAGTGGGGTGCGTAAGCTGTGCATCTGCCAACAATGCCAGTAATTTAATGCATATCTGAGCCTTTCCAACGATTTCCTTACTGTCTGCCTTCAACATTTTTCATGGCCTTAAAGTATACTTACACTGGCATAAGCGCTGTGGTGACTTCACCATTTAATGGCATGTTGGCAGTTATCTATGCCGGTGCAAGTATGTCTTTCTTTGTGCAGACTTGTACAGTATGTATGTGTGTGAGTTAATACGTGCGTGTATGTATTGTATATCACAGTGGTGCAGTGGTTGGCGCATTGCACCACACTCTAGGTCACCTGGGTCTGATTCCTGGCCATAAATAATGTGGGGGGCAATTAATATCGGTCTCCCTTAGATTAACACAGCATTAATTGAGGAACTGTTGTGGTGTGTAAACATCAGCATTGGTAAGAAAGAGGGATCCAGGGACGGTGTTGACCACACCATGTGCCGTGCCAGCCTCAGACGTTACTCACTATAGTACGTGCTCCAACAGTTTGTATGGTCATACAGGGTGTCGCTTTATGGTTGTGTCTTTGGATAAAGGTCTGTGTGTATGTATATGTGTATGTCTACGAAATTGTGTGTCTGAGTGTGTGTATGTATGTATGACAGTGGGGAACAGTCGGGTAGCGATTAGCGCCCACTGTGCTATGAAAATGACATCCTGGGTTTGATTCCCGCATTAGGTCAACACCAGTGATGATGATATCTGAACTGGTCCTGGGCCTCCCCAAGGTCGACTCAGCGTCAAATGAGTCCCTGGTGCGGCGTTTAAACATCGCCACTAGGGAGACAAAGGCGGCCGGGCGTGGTGCTGGCCACCCACCTCGTGTGCCGTTCCGGCCTTCATAGATGCTCACTAATGGCACTTGCTCCTACAGTCTGTAAAGGCTATATGGGGGATCTTTGTATGTGTGACAAAGAATAACATACTTAGACACACACACGGCCATTTGAACCGGTATTGGGCCTCTCCTAGATTGACTCAGCCTCAAATTAGGACCTGGTGTGGTGTGTAAACATCACTTGGCATGGTCCTGGCCACCCACCCCCTGGTGTGCCGTGCTGGCCTTCATAAGTGCGTGCTAATTACACTTACCTCAAATATCTGTTCAGGCTATACGGCGGATCATTGTCTTTGTGTATATATATGGAAAGTGGGAGTATAGTGGTTATTGCATTGTGCTATGAACTCAGTGACCCAAGTTTGATTCCCGCTCACAGACAAATGAGTACTTAATATGCGGTGTAAAAATTAGCACTCGGGAGACAAAGTTGGCCAGGCATGGCACTGATTACCACCCTCTGTTGTGCCATGTAGGCCTTCATAGGTGCTCACCAACAACAACAGCCTGTGGAGGCAACACAGGGGATCTTTGTTTTCGCGTGTGATGTCAGTTTGAATGTATGAGTGTGCCAAGCACACACATAAGCGGGTGTTAGGTTTCCCATCTGCCAGAACAGGAAAGCCGGAAAAAATATATGCAAATGCTTTGGTAATTAGCTGTACGAAGCACCGTGCATGTGGACGGCTGATAGCACTGAGTTTTTAAAGACTTCAAAGGAGCCAGTCAGCAGCATGTGGGCCCACGATTCAAGTGGGTAAAAGGTCCTGTATAGGATGAGACAAAGATTCCATATCATGAGACCATGATTTTGACTGTATGTGGTTGATGAGACGAGGGTTGTAATTGAGATGATGGTTGTGTTTCGGATGGGTTGAGATTTTATAAATGGAGCATTCTGTGTTGGATTAGATGAGATACGTTTCGAGAGGAAATGTTTTAAATGTCGCTGATGCTGCTTGCTGTTCATGCATTTACTGCTCCACATCACTCCCTTCCTTAGATCGCTACATGGTTACCTAATTAAATTTAGGATTTATCTTAATGCTTTTCAGATCCTGCAGGGTATTGCTCCAGTACCTCTCCACCCTAATCTCAATCTATTGCCCCCACTCAAAATCATGGTCTCCTATTTAAATCTGCATTCATACTCTGCACAGTGCGAGGCTACTGCTGATCTTTTGCGCCCATAGTCTGTAGCTCCATCTGTACCACTGTTTCCTTCCCCCCCTCGTTAAGGCCAAGATCCAACCTTCCTCTTCTCCTCTGTCTTTTACTTCTCACATCATAGATTCTATTCCTTTATCCCCATTTTACCATAATCCTTAACTGAGTCCACACCTTCCTCTTTGTACAGAGATTAGAGATACCGCTGCAGTTAGACACAATATAAATCCACATGTATTGTATTGTTGTGACTTGCTGCTGTGTGAGTTATGGGCTGATTATCAATGTGGACTGTTCCTGCAGGAATGGGATTTGTTCACAGGCCTTGTGGTCACAGACCCTGGGCACAAGCCGGTGAGACTCCCTCCACCCTGCACCTACACACGTAATGACATCATCACGACCCTTTCATAGATTTGGTGTGTTTTCTCAAGGGTAAGTGCCTACGACTTCAATGATCTTTATCAGAGGTAATTGCCCCCCCCCCCCACCATTACAGACATAACTAATGCATGAATGCTTTCAACCTTAGTTGGAAAACATAAAAAAACGTGTTGGATAATAACAAATAATTATTTATATCACCCAGTACCTTTCATCTTAAGATAACAAAGCGCTGGACAAATGAAAGTTGTAACACACCATCAGGGAAACCGAGGTTTAAAAGAAAACAGTTCTCCACATAATATATGCTCCGTCTTACACGAATACTCGCACACACTGGCCCTTTCAAATATACACATTCATTCTTACAAACGCTCCTTAATATTCACATACACCCGACACACGCTCGCACACATGAATTCACACATTCACCACACGCTCTCATGCTCATGCATGCACTTGTACCATCACCATATATTAATAACCCAGTCACATGCACATGCTGCCAACGGAGATGAGCTCACTCGCACATGCATATCTCTCTCTGGAAAGGGTGATGAAGCCTAATGAACTCATGCAACTGTCAAAGCAACCCAGGGCCCAAAGGTCAATAATGTTGCGATTGCCTTTTATGCCACTCGTGTTATGTCCTATGCAGTTTAGGGTCCCTGTGGGTTAGGTCCTCGTATACCTATATATCCATGTTCACGTATGCAAAAAAATGCATACACACATGTGCCCGTAAAAATATATACAGATCCTTTGCTGACGCAGCCACAGGCTGTCACGTACGCACACGCAAATTACCTGTGTATGTACTGCATACTGCATAGTTTAAAGTGGTGGTTATCTTTATAACAGACACACATTGGCATGCAAGTGATTTTAGAAACTACCCTGCAACTCTCCGTTGTCAACTCAGCCTTAAATAAATGTGGTACAGTATGTAAACATCAACATTGGAGGACAAGTGGCAGAATAGCTTCTGTGGTGCTGGCCACAACACTTCCTCCTGTACTGTGCTTTGGGTTGCCACCTGTCCAGGTTTCTCCCTGACAGTCTGGGAATTGGCAACTGTGTTCTGGTGGCAGGAATTGATTTGCACTGAGATTTGGCGGTATTGTGTTGAACATTAAAGTACATCCCGCGGTTTCAATAGACTGATTTAAAAATATGACCAGGTTTGACTTGTGGAAAATTTGGTGACCCCAACTATGCTCGCTTGCTTAGGTCTTCATGAACAGTACATTCCCCAACAGTTGGAGATATGTCTCTGCTTTCATTTTTCTTGTACAGAGATATATACATTCAGTCAGAGATTATACATATATATGTATCCCAGTCGCCTTCATCCACACATGATACGAAACTAGAAAAAACTGTTTTGTTGGTCATCTGGCTGGTGCGTGGGCGGGAAAAGAAAAGTCAGGGGTGGAAAAAACCTAATCCTTTCAGATCCGAATTTGAGGTTTAAGGTTCAAACCTTAATAAACCCCATGATTTTATTCGCAATACTCTCAGATCCAGTACGAGTCCTACTCTGATGAGTTCATGTCGTCGCCCTTGGACATATTACTGGATTCGGCGAACACCGCATAGTTGCTCTTGAGGCAGACCAACTTCTCCACCGAACCGAGTGCCAAGCTGTTCCTGAGCTTGCTGTGTATGAAGCCCATAGTTGTGAAGTTGTGCTCCGAGGCTGCAGAGGATGTCGCCATCGTGAACAGCTTGACGCCGATCTTCTGAAGATCGGGCCAGGCCATGCCGTCAGACTGCCAATACTGCAAAGGTGTCTCATGTCCCTTGAGCAGCATAATGAATCTAAACCCGCCGGCATCCTTCTCCTGCTGCGTCGAAATGACATACTCGGTGAGCTGCATAAAGAGCACCTCTCGTCATCAACCGCCGTCTCATCGTTGATCGGTGTCTCCAGTAAGATGTTCTCCAGCTCTTTTGGATTAGCCGGCCTCAAGCCCTCTCCAATGAATCGAGGATCTAACAGATACGCCAGTCCATGGGCTTTTCCGTACATGAACTGACAGCGACTTGCTACCAACTTGATCAGGTAGTTGATCTCTTCAGTGTTCACATGACCGTGCAGCTTGGCAAACTCAGCAGGGAGGGTGTAAAAATCCGGCAAGACTTCAGAGACTGATACGGAATCGGATTGATATTTAACAATCAATGCGTCGATGGGCGTGAGAATGGCAAGGGACTTTTGCAACAGAGAGACGAAGTCGTCGCTCGTAATGATGGTCTTGATTGGCATGCGCTCGGATTTCTGAGCTACCGTCCCCTTGATGAAGTCGCGAGCTGTGACAATGGAATGCAGAATCCTATCCGACGACAACAGCGTCTCGCAACAGCTTTTGATCGTTCCCCAATGTGTAGGAGCCGGCCGGACCAACGCTCAAACACCAGCGATCTTCTGTTCAGCCTGCAGCTGTGCCTTGAGAATGTGACTGTTGTGAAACAATGTGACCGTGTCCTTGCACCCCACAATCAACTCAAGCAAGTACTCGAATAGATAGTCGATCGGGTATGTATGTTCTGATTGGCCGGCTTTCCTCATCTTCGTGGCAGAGAATATGTCCTTGACAAGGAAATGCAGACCATGCAACGTACAGCCTTTGAAATAGGAGGATGGGTGAGTCTTCGAGAGCTGTTCCCACGCATTCCTGTTGGTGGATGTGTTGTCGGTGACCGTGCCAGCGAATGTAGTTTTCGGATAGGACGCCATCACACATTCAAGATCCGAGGCGATCCAGTCAGCGTTGTGGCCCTGCTGTCCAGTGGACACCGACTCGAGAAACAACATTGTGGACGGCGATGTGACCATGTAGTTCACAATCGGATCATTCTTGATGTTTGACCACACATCAGATGTCAGGCAAATAGTCTTATTGTCCAGGACGGTGTCAAACTTCTTCATGTCGATGTACGCCTTGTCAAGCAATGGTCTGGCCAGCCTCTTCCTATTCGGCAGCACTGCATCTGGGCGAAGGGCCTTCACAATAATCACCAGGTTCTCCTCCACGACCCGCTGGAACGACGTGCCCGAGACAAAGTAATGCATTGCTATGGCCTGCTCGAACTTCTCCTTCGTTCGCTTATCGAGCTTGGGTATTAGGTGATCTTTGATTGATCCTTGCTTCATCGACGAAGCATTCGATGTAGATGGAGTTGAGCTGCCGCTTGCCTTCGATGGCTTCACCCGCTTCTTGTTCGACGCATACCACTCGAGACAATCATCTATCTCGGTGCAATTCATTGCCCTCCGAAAAGCGGCGCATGCATTCAGGTGCCTCATTGCCCGCTCACTCTTCTTGTGATGGTTGAATCTGGTGCGACAATGTTTGCAGACGGCACTCTTCAACTTGTACAGTTCCGGATCATCGGTGAAGTAGTGTCAAAACTGGCCCATTGAGCGTCCTCTGGCCTTCCCTGCGTTCGCCGACGCCTCGTCGGCCACTCCATCCTTCTCCGCGTCAGCCACTCCATTCTTCTCCATCACAATTACGACATCACTATCACATTCTTCGGAATCAAGTAAATCCTTATGCAGGTCCTGATCCATGATCCTGCTTGCGGTGGAAATTGGGTTCGTTTGATGACACTAGTAACTCAGGTAATGCCAAGATTTCTGATTTCCGGGCTCCGGCCTTCCACAGTCTGTGACTTCATTCAGACTTCCTGCAAAAAACAAAAGGGCGTCTTTTAATAATAAACCTCAAAACCTCACCCTAACTGGCCCTTCGGGATATTGAGGTTTTTTTTATCTAAACCTTATCAAACCTAATTGTTTTAAACCTCGCCTTGGCACCCATGGGAAAAGTGTGTGCTGGTGACATCACCGCGGACATCTGCATAATGACATCACCCGGCCGTGTATCCCATGCAAATATGCGGGCAGTGCTAGTTATCTACAATTATAAGGTTCATACCAAATCTAAGATCCTCACTTCTTGTGGTGACATGTGGAAATTAAAATATCCATCACACAGTTTTTTGCAGAATTGCAATTTAAACATTCCCGTTTTAAACAAAAGCAAAACAGGAGAAGAGGGGTCGTGTGACAGTTCTGTATACAGACGGTGTACGGGAAGTGAATCGCATGATGCACATGGAGCAGAACGCCAATGTGCACAAGATACCTCCACAAGCATTGTATGAAAACTAGATAACTAGGTCATACCAGACCAGGGCTGGAACAATCAATTTAATAAATTTATTATAACTATAATAGCTCTTATTTTTATGTTCGACAGTATGTATAATTGATAAGTCGGAAGCCATTTTAAAAGGGCATACGTGAAACATATCTGGACGAAAATATTTAATATAAAAATAATTTCCAAATAACTAGCTTTACGACCTAGGGTTAATTTCATATTCCCTTATATTTCACTGAAAAGCCTGAAAAAATGTATGCTTGCAAGAAAGAAAAAAGCCAAAACAAATAAATTTGACTAAATCGGATGTTTTTCACTCAAGGAAATTCAACCTTAACCCACTTATACGTAATGTTGATTTAGGCAACTCGGGAAGGGAATGACGTGGCGAGCTGAAAATAGTCCCGTTCCCTTAAAATTCCAGACGGCATAAGCTGTGCAAATTTCATGATGTCAGAGCTCAGCGTTGAAGAGTTTTTGCTGCTTCACACCAACAGATGTATTTTCTGCTTTATATTTAAGAGCGAGCTGAAAATAGTCACGTTGACTTAGAAAATCGAGACAGCAATGCCGCGCATTTCTGCGGGATACACGGCCTACGCGGAGGGTTGCCACATGCATCACAGATGTGATGTCACCGCTCACTTTCCATTATTGCGCCCCCCTCCCCCCACCCAAAATACAAAAGTCTATTTTTATACGTTTTCCATTGTGTACAGTCTGGAAGCTACCCACATGCCAAATTTAAAGTTTGTTGCATGTCGGGAAGTATGCTAAACATTTCGAACAGACACACATTCACAAATTTCCCTTTTATATATCCATAATAACTTGTTGTAAATGGTGGTTACCCATCCCAGCACTATCCAGGCTTCCATAATCTGACAATCAAATGTATGGGCAATACAATAATAGGTATGTATAGACTAGCCTTTTGCCCGTCCAAGGATGGGTGTAATAATTGCAGTAAATCTGAAACTTGCAAGCGAAAAGCAGACAGCGACGTGATCTTCATTGCATCCATTCGTGTGCAATTTGTAAGGGTACAGTGACACAGACCTATTTAATTTCAAGGTTATAATCCCTTGTTCATCACGACGTCCTTTTTACTTCTATGTCTCAACAGCGTGACGGAGATCGCGTGACGTGCGGGTTCTGCCTTTGTAGTGAGAGTTGTGAGTTGACGCCGAGGAGGGGGGAGGAGGCGCCTCGGCCCCCCACGTGTGGAGTGACGTCAGCCGCTAATTATTATGAATGGGGGGGTGTCCATTTGGAGGATGTCACCTACTCATGATTATTAATTAGGGAGGCTGTTCGATGTGGAGTGACATCACCTGCTCATGATTATTAATGAGGGGCGGGTCCATATGGAGGACGTAACCTGTTCATGATTATTAATGAGGGGGGCTGGTTGACGTGGAATGACGTCACGCGCATTACACACTGACATTCTTGGGTAACTATAGTAACTATAGTAGTAAATACCCTACACTGGTGTGTGTGCCTACACTCTCACAGGACTCTCATTCAGGTCGCGGGGTTTTGCCGAGTTGGGTGGAGCCTGAGCATGCTGGAGCCTTCGCACTCCTGAAGGTGATGCATTCACGTTCATCCCTTTCACTGCAGAATCACTGAGTTTATCACTTTCCCATGGTGGGTGTGCACTGTATGCAAATACAAGGCAAGTGATATCATACCCCTTGCTATTATGAGCGGCTCTGAGCCAGTGGTGGAAATTCTACATTCCTATGATAGATACCTATCTTTCAAGTCATCGTTGAGTTAACACTCCCACATATCCAATCCATACTTATAGTTATATTTCAATGCACATTACATGTAATGTACACTTATATATGTACATGTAATATGCATAATATTGACATCCCATACATAGTGCTTATTATATTGGTATGCCATAGTTCTTATGTCCCTTTGAAATTCAAATCTCATAATGTGTCTTTCTTCATTTGAAACATACGGAGTCGTTGCATATATACACTTGTATGTGTGTACTGTATAGTGCTGTGGTTGTGTGACACGTGGTGGATGCATGCCCAGGCCACATGTCCAGGCCTCGTCTCCACTCTCCACCTTGACAACGCTGACCTCTGGGCTCCGTTCTCACGCAGCACGGCCTCTGAGAGTGCACTGCCACCCGCCCTGCAGAACAAGATTTCCGCCTTCCAGCAGGTGCACACCAAGACAAAGATTCCCCGTATAACCACAAGAGGCTTTTGGTGCAAGCGTTGTTAGCGATCACCTATAAAGAGCCAGTACAACACACGAGGGGATGGGTGTCCAGCTTCACGGCCATCCACGGTTGTCTCTCAAGTGGTGACTTTTACAAACTGGACCGGGTACTTATTTGAGATTGAGTCAACCTAGGGCAGGGGTCGGCAACCAAAATAACAAGAAGAGCCATTTCTTTCCAATTCGGTACAAAATTCAGTATTTCAAGAGCCGCAATGCATCTATGTACATACGTGCATATCGTCAAGAAGCAGCCCGTAAAGAGCCGCATGCGGCTCCGGAGCCGTAGGTTGCCGACCCCTGACCTAGGGGGAGGCCTCGGACCGGTTCAGATAATTGTCACTGGTGTTGGCCGTGAGTGGGAATCGAACTCGGGTCACCGGGTTTGTAGCGCAGCATGCTAACTGCTGCACCACCACTCCCCATAAGGGAAAGTGCACATACACTATCACACACACCCCAATGTATTAGCACATCTACTCACTAAATGATCTCAGCCAGACACGCTCACACACACCGATGTGTATATACATATTAACACTACATGCCAAAATATATGCACACACACATACACAGCAAACCCTTATCGTGGGTTTAGCTATCAGTTTCGCGCTATATTCATTGAGGTACAGTTCACCGATTGCGCCACTGTGGTTCAACCATTTGCGGTTGACCGCAAGATTCCTGCATGCCTCATAACTGTACTGCTCGCGATGATGCTGCTGCGGAAGAACACACATGCACCATCCTGTCTCCCAAGCGGCTCATCGTGGGTCCCAGGTTACGTGGTGTTTGCAGCCTCCAGTGAGGTGTACAATACTGTATACAGACAAGTCTACAGTATTGTACACTACATTGTTTCATTCTATACATTTACCATACAAGTAATATTCAACACTAGAAAATATTAATCAATTTATATTAAAAATACTTGCTGTTTAATGTTTGGGTTGTTGTAGGGTAACATAAAACAAGACGGGGTGTTGTATGAAGAACTGTGAACCAAACCCTAGTTTTCATATTTGCCTTTTGGTTTGTGGATCTTGGATTTTCCAATTGCATCTATTTTCAAGAACGTAACCCCTGCAATGGGCAAGGGTTTGCTGTGCACAGTGGATCACTCCATTTTTAGTGTACACTAATAGATACCTCACTAAAATACAAGGAATCAATTATTATATTTCAAATAATTTATTTACGCTTTTCAACAATTATCTCCTAATACATTTCATCTCCCGTACCTGCTGCAATATCCTTATAGCATCCAATACTGTGTAGCTGAGGTCATTGATATCTTGCGGTTTTATCGCATACACACACACACGGTCTTTGATGTAACCCCACGAGAAAACATCCAGCGAGGTTATGTCAGGTGAATGCTGGGGGCCACACAATCGTTCCACCTTGGCCAAATCCAGCTTACAAATGTTTCTTGAATACAATCACATACTGTAAATGGATCACCCAAAATATACACTCACAAAGACAAAGATCCCCCATATAGCTTTAAGAGACTGCTGTTAGGAAGTACTTATTAAGCCCAACATAGCACATGAAGGGGTGGTGTGGCCAGACCCATGCCTGGCCATCTTTCTCTCCCTAGCGCTGATAGGCCCAGGACTGGTTTTGGTTGATAAACGCAAGTTTATTGGTTTGTAATACGGTGCAATAACCACTGTCCCACCTATCACCTAAATACATGTGAAGTACCGGTGAAGACGCTTGACGCCGAGGTTGAGGCACACGTATATTTATTTCACAGTATGACAGTGGGCATATACACTCTCGAGGGGGTATCGGCCCCCTCACCCGTATAACTCGGGATACACCCCTAGCTAACTCTGTCCTAGCCCCGAATCCTCCACTAATGGGCTAGGGGAGGCTAACTGGCCCGACACTGGTAAGTCGGGCCCGGTACCCGGAGTTCCAGACCAGCTCTTACAAGAGCACCGGCTCTGGCTTTCGGGACCACGCCGCTGGCTCAATCCTGTCCGGCCCTGAAAAGGACATCGAACCAGGGGAGTCCAGGGCTCTATCTAAGACGTCTTCAATCTTCTTCCCTTAGCTTAAACATAACTGCCGAGCCCTTTGAAACATCCCCTTTTATACCCAACCCCTCCCTGAGGGGTGGGGCCCCGGGGGATCATAACGTTCGAACCAGCCCCCCCCAGGGTGTCTGGCTCGGACGTCGTAGAGAGCACTTGCTCGTGCACTTACGTAGCCCCGCCCACTGTGTTTGTTTTCCATAGGCTGCCATGCATAACGGGCCCTCTCTTTAACACCCCTACACATGTACACACAATTGTGTCCATGGAACCCAACAGACTTTTAGCATTCGAGCTGTTCAGGAGCATCTAATAAGGCAAGCACAGCTCACTGGGGGGTGCCAGAATAACACCCAAGCCACCTTTGTCTCCCTACTGCTGATTCTCACTACATTGCACAATATGTTTATTCTAAGTTAAGTCCTGGTACCTTGTTATTCTCCCTTTATATCTCACCTCTGGAAGCTGCAATTTCTTCATTTAACTGTCCCAATTCCTTCTTCAACAACATCTACATTTTATTTTCCTTCCCTCCTTTGCCCCTGACCTTGCCGACCACATGGTCACTGTCCAATCCTGGATGTCACGCCACTACCTCTCCATCAATCCTTCCAAAACTGAAATCATTTTTCTTCCCTTCCCCCCACTCCCCTCCACCCTGTCCTATGATCTCATTCCCTCCCTTCTACCTCACTCAAGCATTCTCTGCTCTCAACCTCGGTAGCATCTTCAACCCCTTTCTTTCCCTCTCCAACAACATCTCTGCCACTACCTTTCACTTATTTAATATTCATAACATTCGTCCCCTTATTCTCTGCTGCCAAACTCCTGATTCACTCCCTCATTTTCACTCACCTTGACTACTGCAACTCTTTTCTCGGGCTTGCTGCCTACGCCTTTGCTCCTCGCCTACAAGATAATAGAAAATGCCTCAGCCCAAATAATGTGTAACCTCCCCCACAATTCCCACACTTCTGTTCTCCTTTCCCAATTACACTGGCTTCCTGTCTACTATTGCTGTATGTTGACATGTCTCACTCTAGCCTTTAAATCCCTCCATGGTCTTGCCCTACCCAGTCTTGCTTTTCTCATCTCTTATGACCGTCCCATCCCACTCTCTATGCTCCAATACTGTCCATATCTCGGTGCCTCCCTCGCTCTGCTCCCAGTCATACTTTTTTCATTTTCCCTTCTTGCTCCCCTTCACTGGAGCAAGCTCCCACTGCAAATTAACAATCATCTTTATGAAACCATCTTCCGCGCCTCCCTTAAAACCCATCTCTTCTCCCTAGCCCATCATCCTGCTACTCCCTGCCCCCACCTCCTAACTAGGACCAGGCCTACCCAAATCCCTCCTTAACCACTTCCACCTGTCCTCCTAATCGTCACCATAACTACACCACTGTTAATAACCAAACTCTTTATCTCAACCACTATCATCTTACGTACAATTTTATAATTGCTGTTAAGCACCTTGAAATAAGGCGCTATATAAATCTATATAAGATACAATAAGAAATACCTAGGCATTTTGCATCATGGTGAATAATCACTCTTGTCACAAGGATCATAGCATCGTGTATATATATTCCACTGTATCATAACAGACACATATACTCACACTAAAAAATACTCACGATTGCAAAACCCACTTGGACACACAACTTTTCGTGTTTGTGCAATTAATTCACTTAAATAGTTAACTGATAGTAGTGGCAGTGTTGATTAGGTAATGTACTGCTGCTTAGGCAAAACATATTTAATAGTGGTGATGATGGTGGTGTTGATAGTGTTGACAGTTATGGTGTTCCTGGTGGTGGTGTTGATGATTTCAGGTTCTGCTGATTCAGGCATTGAGACCAGATCGCTTGGTCAGCGCCACCACACTCTTCGCCACCAGGGCTCTTGGTATGACATTGACACACATGAACACAGTATTCATAAATAAGTGCCCAAACATTCACCCTTATGAACACTTCAATACACATGCAGGAACACATACACACACAATCATTTGCACAGATATAACGTTCAGGCCACACATAAACGATGACATTCCCATTTGTGAACACTTCAGAAGACATAAATACACACATACACACATTCACACTTATGAACACTGAAATACACACACAGGAATGTGTGCACACATACCCTGACACATGCACAAATACATAAATTATACATATACGCATGTGAGCACATCTTTACTAGGGTTGGAACAATTCATCCCCCAGCATATTAATGTATTGTATTGATATTGGGCCATAATTTTAATCACAAATATTTTTTTTCAGAGAATGGAAGCACACCGAGTGACTGCAATAGTGGTGTGAATCCTTAACGTAACAAAATATACAGGTTGAAGGAAATACATTTTTACACTTGTATTTCGATGCATTATTACATGGTTAAAATTTTATGTTAATCCGTGAACAGATGCGTCATTTACCCATAAACAGTGCACGGTCAGACCAAAATACCTCAACATTCACGTTTATGCATTTTTTTCTGATCCATGTCTCAGAGAGGGAGGCCTTGCGTCCCATGTCGTCCCTCGTGTCTCTGTGTGTCCCAGGTGTGCGGGACGTGTCTCCGCTGTCTCTGGCCCGTATCTCGGAGCAGGAGGCCGTCTCATCAGAGCCGCTGCTCGTGCTGACGTCTCCGGGAGCTGACCCCTCCCATGAGCTGCGGGAGCTCGCGGCGTCCACACATGGGACGCAGGCTCTGCACGAGGTGATCTCACACTTTATGGCTCCGTGTGAAGGCAATTCAACTGCACCAGGCTCAGGAATTATGATGGCCCAGGTGCCAGGCTTTAAAGAGGTAACGGAAAATTATACATTTTGACATGGGGGCCCCGTTTCATTCCTTGCACCAGGGTCAATGCCAAGCATGCTATGCTGCTCGATAGGTTGTGCACCAGGCACATGAGCATGAAGTGAAAATGGTGTGGATGAAGATTATAATGATCATGGTGGTGGTGATATAGGTATTTCTGGTGGAGTATGGCTTTGTAGTTACAATGATGGTGGTTTTGGTGGTTGTGATGATTGTAGTGGCAATGTACCGCATAGTTGGCTATAGGGCAGGGTACTTAGGATGAAGTTTTGTGGTTATGCGGTCATGGTGTAGGTGGTGATGAAGCAGGGTACCGCAGATAAGTTTTTGTGATTGTGGTAATGGTCGTGGTAATAGTGGTTGAGGTGATTGTAGTTATTGCGATGGGAGTGATGGTGATTCTGATGGAGGTGGTGGCAAAGATGGGTCTCATTGATGGCGGAGGTAAATGCGATGGTGTCTGTGGCTCTGCCAGTGATGGTGGTGATAATGTAGGTGGCAATTCAGCAGAGTGCTGCGGATGTGGTAATGGTGGTTGAGGTTATGGTAAAGGTAGTGGTGGAGGTGATAGTAGCTCTGATGGTGATGGTGGAGGTGACAGCAACGGTGGCTGTGGCTCTGATGTTGATTAGAGTGGTGGTGGTGGTGATGTAGGTGGCAATGGGGCAGGGTGCTGCGGATGAGGCTGTGCGGCTGCTACGAGACTGTGCCCAGGCTGGGACGTGGCTCTGCCTGAAGAACCTGCATCTCGTCACAGCTTGGCTCCCCACTCTCGAGAAGGTGCGTCTTCCCTCTAGTCTTACCGCTCAGTGTTTGCACATGCGCGTGTTTCCTGCATCTGTTAAGCGTGTGTGTTTGTTATGTGTTAATTTGATTGTGTGCGCCTGTTTTGTCAAGCAAATGTCTCTGTTGACTTTAGGCAAGTCTTTTTGGGTGTTCCTATAGAGTACAGGTAAGTCCTCTCCAAATACGGACTAGCAGAGACATATACCAGCAGTGAGAATTAATACCTGTACTGTACTATACTGATGAGTCCAAATAAGAAAGAAACTGGGTCTACAGTTGTCTCTTTTCATTTAGCTCTTAAGCTCGTGGTCTAGATATGGCTGAGAGCATTCTACATACAATGTAATGATCACATGACAAGCACACAAGGCATGATGAGAGTTGTGCTTGTGTGTGCACATGCATATGTGAGGATGAACCGTGTACACACACGTCTGCCTGTATGTGCATAATGTATTTGCAAGTTTGTGCGTGCGAACACTCTCGTCCACAGGAGCTCAATTCCCTGTCTCCGCACGCCGACTTCCGCCTGTGGCTCACGTCCGAGCCCCACACAGGCTTCTCACCCGTGTTGCTTCAAGCGAGCCTCAAGATCGCCTATGAGGTGTGGCCATTCTCAGACACCACGTGACCCAAATCCTGGTCCACGGACTGGAAAATGATAGCTGTCTCCATGTACATACTGTGTGTTTGTGTGTGTCTTCCGGAAGCGGTAGTGCAGCACTTAGCGTGCCGCACTACGAACCCAGTGACCCGAGTTCAATTCCCACTTGCGGACAACACCAGTGACGATTATTTGAACCAGTTCTGGGCCTTCCCTAGGTCGACTCAGCCTCAAATGAGGACTGGTACGGTGTGTAAACATCGCCACTCGGGAGACAAAGGCAGCCGGGAATGGTGCTGGCCACCCACCCCCTCGTGTGCCATGCTGGCCTTTCATAGATGCTCGCTAACAGCACTTGCCCCTACAGTCTATTAAGGCTATACGGGGGATTTTTGTCTACCAGGGGTGGTTGCACAGTGATTGGTACAATGCAATAAAATCCAGGCTAGCTAAGGTAAATTATGGGACAAACATTTGACCAAACAATTGACAGGTTCATGTTATACGTATAGATTAATATTTTGCACATGTCTCTCTAATATGAACGGCATGTATACCTGTGTCTGCATATATGCGAAGTATGTATGTGTTAATGTGTTTTCAGGCACCCCCTGGGTTAAAGCGAAATCTGCAGCGTACGTACGAGAGCTGGACCGCAGAGCAAGTGTCGGGCAGCCGCGGCGACGGGGGTGGGCGGACACGTGCACATGCGCTCTTCTCCCTCGCCTGGTTCCACGCTGTGTGTCAGGAGAGGAGGAATTACATCCCGCAGGTGAGTGTCAGTGAGTGTGTAGCACAGTGGTCCACGCACTGCACCATGAAGCCAGCGACTGGAGTGTGATTCCAGGCCCTGGTTTACTTCGGTGGTGAGTGATAGTTGAACCAGTCCTGGGCCGCCCCGAAGTCGACTCAGTCTTAAGTGAGTATGTGGCACAATGTTTAAATATAAGCACTGAAGAGCACAGCGGCCGGGTGAATGGTGCTGACGACCACACTCCCTGGCGTGCTTTGCAGGCCATATTAGTTACTCACGAACAGTACTTGCCCCAACAGTCTGTGTAAGCTTTATGGGGAATCTTTGTGTTATATGTGTATATGAGTGGATATGATTGTGTGTGTGAATATCACTATGTTTGGATTTATGTAAATGTGTGTTCTAATATATGAATGAGTGTATGCATGTGCTTGTGTATAAATAACTGTGTCTATGTGTGTATAATATCAACCCCTGCTACCCTTGTTTGATTTCTGGCCAAGATGCATACTAACAGTAGCAATTGAATCTGTTCTTGGCATCCCCGAGACCAACTCGGCTTTATATGAGTGCCTGATGTAGTGGTGAGGTGAGCACTTACACTTGTGTGAAGATGGCAGTCAGGCTTGTGTGGCATTAGCCACACCACATCTCCTCATGTAAGATGCCAGCCTTAACAGGTACTCACGAACAGCACTTCTTCCCACAGTCTAGACAGTTGAATGGAATATTTGTGTTTTTATGATGAGTTTAGTTTGGGTTAGATCGTCGTGTAGGTATATTGTCAAATTTTAACTATAACCCTCCACCACCTGACATAGGCAATCAAATCAATTTGTCACATGGGCAAATATGTCAATTGACTTGGTTTATCAACAGAACCAGAACGCTGAAGAGCAAGAAATATTTGACCATTTTGTAAATGCTGTTTCACTAGAGAATACACCAAGTATAAAATAGATGCTTTAACGAAAACTCAGCTCTTGCTTGATTGTCTTTGTACTCAATGTACACGTGTTTACTATGTGAGTGCATCATTGTCGGTGTGTATGCTTGGGTGAGTGGTGTCATCGCTTAACACATTTGTTTTTACTTTAGGGATGGACGCAGTTTTATGAATTCTCCCTGTCGGATCTGCGTGCTGGATACGACATCATTGACCGCTTTTGTACAGGTACGGAGGAGATGTAATTATAAACAAAGACAAACCTACATACACCGAAACGTAAACGTATACATAAATTACACAAATATATAGTCATTTTTGGGGTTTTTGAACCTAAGTCTTTGAAGATTTGTAATTGTAAGTTTTGAAGGGTGCTGAATTGAAATGTTACATAATATATCAAAATTGAAAACCAAGATTTTTTTTATATATGGGCCCCCAATTGAAATATTATCATGACATTTTAGCTTCAATTAATGTGATTCTTGTTCTGTTCTTAAACTTCCCCTTATGAAAATTGTATCTGGTGGTTATTGAAGGGTCTAAAATTCGAATTATGTAAGATATTCAATAACTTTTTTCGGTACACTTTAAATGTGACCTAAAAATGTATAGAAAATTATAAAAACGCACTTCCAGGTATCGGTGAATACTGATACATGTGCATGCAATTTATTTTATATGTATGTATGTTGAAGTTCTTTCAAACCATACGTAGCTATCCGTTCTCGTCGGAGGTGCGGGGAAGGACAACAAACTAAACACAAAAAGCAGTTAAAAAGAAATGAGTTTTCAATCTAGATTTAAAAGTGCATAGCTCAAATTGCTTCCTAATATCGGGAGGAAAAACGTTCCTTACGGCCGCAGTGCATCTGAAAGCGTGCAATTAGGTGATCGAGAAGTGGTGACATTACGACAGCACTTGGGCCAGACTAGGTGCGCTTTGAGGCTACTTGAAGTGTAGAAGGTTCATTTGCAGGGAGGTTACTGGACAGACCATGGTGTTGTGGGTTAATTGACTGGCAAGTGTACCACCTACAACATGGGACTTTTCTTGCCAGCATCAAAGTATAAGAATAGGTTTTATCCTTTCTGGCAATAAAACAGGTGTTGAGATGTTTAAACACCAAACAGAACCTTTTTGCAAGGAATCATGTCTACTTAACCACACATACTTGTGCTGAACATGCATACAAAAACATGCTCTGGTAATATATGCATTGTCTTTGAAACTGATTGGTCTACACCAGAGACAGCCTTCTTTAGGGTCTAGCCTCAACCAGTGTTAGGGCGAAAGGCGAACAACATAAAGACAATGCACTATCAGGGCATTTATAGTTTAACACATAGGCTTTCGCGACCAATATCATCCAGAATCTAGGTTTTTTGGCTTAGATCTCGTAAATATAAATGTGTCGTTATACCCGCCACCATCCGACATAGCCAATTAGTAAGGTTTGTCACATGAACAGCACACCGGTGTGTTGGAGAGAAAATCCACAACATGTACAATCCGAGTACGACGTTTCGCCAGTAATTACAGCAGCCATGTGTGGAAATCCTTCTGTTTCATTCCTTAAATAGAGGAATATACGATGACGTCACTTGTGAGCCCTTCGCGTGCGAAGGGGGGGGGGGGGATTAATGAATGCATATAAATTACAATGGGTATCCAATACCGGTTTGGTTATTCAAATGGTAATCAACGTACATTATGCATGCACATTATGCATTTATAAACATGCTCTGATAACACTGTGTAACACATTTTTTTGTTTCTGGGTAGTAAGTGTTATTTCCTAATTGCTTATGCCTCAAAAGTACAGAAAATGGCTATTATTCCCCACAAACTTTCCTTTTGTGACCAGGACAGTTATATTTTGCAATTTACATATTTTTCAGAACATTCCAGATAGATTCAGTGATGGGTAAACTTGGAGTAACTTCTAGAACATTCTAGAACTTTCCAATAATATAAATAGTAGTATATATACAGGAGCCTTAAGCCCACCAGATCAGTTTAGTTCAAGCTGCCTAAGTGGATACATATCTGCATTTTTCTGAGATGGCATCAAAAGGCTGCAAGCATCCGGCAGATGCATTTTGCTAAGTCTGCGGCCAATTTATCAAGACAAGAGCGAAAAAGTACTCTGTGGAAGCATCTGCTAAGATGTGTGAGGCTTACAAGGCTTATTTCGGCATGCCTGTCGGGGATCAAGACAAACCCTGGGCACAATTGTTGCTCGGAATTTTGTTATAAAATTTGTTCCAATTTTTTAAATTGTAAAAGTTTTTACTTTTAAAATGTTTTACAATTTTCAATGTTATTGAAACAATATATCATATTTGAAAAATGTTGCGAGAATCTCTTACACATTAGTCATGGGTGAAATACATGTATATTTGTAGGATGGTACAGATGGGAAAAGGGAGCCATGAAGTTTGCTATCCCAAGAATTTGGCTGGAACCCACTGACCACTCAAGCAACTGCTACTTGTGCATGGTGGACCCTTCCAAACGTCGGCCTGGCAAGAATGCACCTGCTATCACGTATCCGGACTTTCCTTCATCCATCGCCCCGGTGCCACACTGCCATGAGCTCCCCGTACCAATCCTTCGGAGATAGAGCAGCCATCTTTAGAAGAGAGCAGCAAGTCAGAGAGCGAGGAAGACGTAAATCCAGATGACAATTTAAAAGGTGGAGCTGAGGAGAGAAACCCATACTACCCCAACCAAAATACCTCAACGACTTGATCAGAGATCTTGGTCTTACCAAGTCCAATGCCGAGCTTTTGACGTCTAGGCTGAAGCAGTGGAACTTGTTGGATGCAAGTGTGCAAGTCGCAGATCAGAGGAAGCGTAACCAACCTTTTTCCAGCTTCTTCACCCGTCAAGATGGGCTCTGCCTCTACCACAATGTGACCAGTCTGTTCGAGGCAATCGAAATCGCCTGTAACCAGAATGAGTGGCCCTTCTTCATTGACAGCTCATCCAAGAGCCTCAAAGCCGTGCTACTCCATAATGGTAACAAGTACCCATCTCTTCCCCTGGCTCACTCGGTGCACCTCAAAGAGGATTACAACAGCATCAAGACCTTGCTGGATGCCTTGAAGTATGATGAGTACGGCTGGGAGGTCATCAGAGACTTCAAAATGGTGGCATTCCTGATGGGTCTCCAAGGCGGTTTTACCAAGTTTCCCTGCTATCTTTGCCTTTGGGACAGCAGGGACACCAAGGCACACTACCACAGGCGGGCCTGGCCACAGCGGACAAAAGTCAAAGCCGGTGTCTTTGTCGGACCACAGATAAAGACGATCCTGGAGTGCAATGAATTCCCCAAGAAGCTCACTAGCAAGGATAAAGCGGCTTGGAACAGCTTTGTCGCAGTGATTCGGGGCTTCCTGGGCAATCACAAGGCCGAAAACTATGTGGAGCTGGTTGAGACTCTGGTGAAGAACTATGGCACAATGGGCTGTAGGATGTCCCTCAAAGTCCATATCCTTGATCAATTCAAGAAGAACATGGGAGTGTACTTGGAGGAGCAAGGCGAGCGCTTCCATATATAGGATATACTGGACTTTGAACGCCGCTACCAAGGAGAGTATAACGAGAACATGATGGGAGACTACATTTGGGGGCTGATTCGTGAAAGTGATTTACAGTGTAATCGTAAATCTAGAAAAACTACTCACTTCTAAATCTTTTGTAGTCATTTTTCAATTACTTTAGCATAAATACATGTCAATTTTTATTCGTATGTTGTTTTTTTACTTTATGTGAGCGAAAAGACACAAATTATTCTGTTTTCTCATTGAAAATAGATACATTTCTAAATATCACTGTCCTGGTCACAAAAGTAAAGTTTGTGGGGAATAATAGCCATTTTCTGTACCTTTTAGGCATAAGCAATTACGAAATAACACTTACTACCCAGGAACAAAAATTGTGTTACATAGATTTCTAGTTGGTGTTTGAACATCTTAACACCTGTTTTATTGCCAGAAAGGGTAAAACCTATTCTTGTGTGGTGTGCGGCGCACACACTCAGTCGGAGACGAGGTAGTTGCAGAAGGCACCGTCTCTCTCTCTATTTCTCAATCTCGTTCACACCACCAACTCCGGCCTTATTCTCACGACCACGCTGCCGTACAGCCCGGCCCAGACACGACCCTGTCCGCGTCGACCGAGACAGCCAACTACTGTTCGGCCGCGGAATGATCGGGCGAAGGCGGCGGTGACGACAGCGGCGACGAGACGAGTCTACTCCCCGAACCGGCAGCCTGTAGCTCTCGCTCTCCGCTGCTTATATTCTACTCGCGCGGCTTGGCTCCGTTTTAGCCGCGCCTCCCTTCTCGAACCCACCAAAGGGTTCCAGCGGCCTCCATATGAGGTCTACCGTGACCCTTGCCCTAGTGCAGTGGTTCTTAACCTTTTTGGAGGTGCCGAACCCCACCAGTTTCATATGCGCATTCACCGAACCCTTATTAATTGGAAAAATAAAATATGATATTTTCAAATTCAAAACATAGGTACATGTTTTACTGGTGCACAATAATGTGAGTCGGGTGTGTGTCTTAACCTCCGCCGAACCCCTGAGACTGACTCACCGAACCCCTGGGGTTCGATCGAACCCAGGTTAAGAACCACTGCCCGAGTGCCTCTGCCCTGCCGGCACACACACCGTGTATATGCTCAACAGCGCGTGCGCTCACTGTCCACCGTAGTTGCTGCTGCTGGACAGCAGTCGGTGCTGTGTTACTACACTGGTACCACCGATGCTTCCCACTGTGCTAACTTGCTACTCGATTTAACACATCGGCTTTCGCGACCAATATCCATAATAGAGGTTTTTGGGTTAGATCGTGTAAATATATAAATGTGTCGTTAAAACCCGCCACCACCCAACACAGCCAACTAGTAAGGGTTGTCACGTAAACGCAACATGCCAATTCGTCACTAGCTGTCCTATTTTTTTTATTTAATAGGACTCTCCATCTTTCATTTTCTTTTTCACTACATATTTCCCCTCTCTCACGCACACTTGCACTGTCTCTAACACAGAGACATGCCTATGAGGGTGGATAAGTGCATCTAACGCATACCCATCTCATCACACGCTTGTTATTATCGACAATCTGATATTAAAGTACGGGTGCTGAATGAAAAAGCTAAAACGGCACTGCAGAAGCGACAAATGCAGGGAGATGCAGGGCACACAGCCACACTA